GGGCACGTGGAGATCGTCCGTGCGAAAATTATTTGATATTATGATAGTGCGTTGAGATCGCCCGCACAGACACGTGGAGATCGTCCGTGTCGGTATATGGACCTCGCGAGTCCCCCATGGGTCATGAACTCTCGATGTATTTCCGAGGAGTATCATGTATATACGGTTGAGTGAGTACTGGGTATTCTGAGACATATCATTACATGACATCATATTGCATTGCATTTCATCTCATCATTCATTCTTGATGACTATATGTTTCGTTTGGTGTTTGGAAAATATTAAATGTTGATTTCCTTTATTGATGAAACTTAAATAGTAAGTGTAATATATATATATACTTGTACAATCTAAGAATTTATTTTTTTATATAACTCCCGTCACTACTTCTTCGTTGTCGGTCAATGAGACATACTGGGTACACGTGGTTTCATACTCATACTACACTTGCTGCACTTTTTGTGGTGCAGATTGAGTGATTGACTTTCAATTTGGGAACGTTCTTCGAGATTGGATATGAGTTTGAATTATCTTGGAGTTGTGGTGTGCTGTTTGGGATATTCTGCGGCCCACACCTTCAGTCTACCCCTATTTATTAGGCTATTTTGTTATGCTGATAGGATAATTCTTATGTTTAGATTTTTATATTAGTTTGGAATTGTATCATATTGTAGAAGCTCTTGTACTTATGACACTAAATCTTGGGATAGTTTTATTTATATTCCGCATTTATTTGAATACTTAGTATGTTAGATATTAGTTTGATACTTATCTTTCTCACGTTTAAGTTGAATTGGTGATACTTGTTGGGTTGGCTTACCTATCGGTTGGGAACATAGGTACCATCACGACTCATGATTTTTGGATCGTGACACAAGAGATAAGCCATTTGGGGTTAGGCCCACTTTTCACAGGTCAATGAATAAACAAATGCATTATTTTGGATATTGTTATAAGAGTGTTATTATTAGGTATTAATATGAAGATTTGAGTTTTATTATTTAAAATTCTAAAATATTTTTCATATTGAAGTAAAATGTCCTTTTTATTTATAACAATTTTCAATTTTTGTTTTTTGATATTAAAATTATATGAAAAAAATGTAAAATTAATTTTCAATTTTGTTTTATGATATTTTTATTATATGAAAAAAATGTAAAATTTTAAAATTTTGAGGCCTAAAAAGAATATTTTTAACTATACTTACTCTTGAGCTATCCATGCATAGCCATTAAATATTGTCCTATTTTTACCCACAAAGAAGAAAGAATCCCTTTACACTCTTGCGCAATGCCATACCCAAGTGGCTGATTTACGCAAGCATTCATTTCTGAGGCTATTTTTCTGAATGACGTTAAAAGAACTACAGAAATAAGATGTTAAAATATTTTTTAATATTTAAAATAACTTCCAAAATTTTAAATTATAACTTTTCAAAATCTTAATTTGCTGAAAAAGAATTTAAGAATAATTGTCCAAAAGTTCTAAGTACTAAAAATAAATAAATCATCATCTAAAAGGTCCTTTAATAAAAACGAGAGTATCAAAAGCAAATTCTAAACTTGATGTAAATTATTAGTTTCATTTCTAAACTATTGACAGTTTTAAAAATACTCTTTTGCTTGGCTAATTGAACTTAATACACGGTACAACCCTAAATCCTCGTTAAATTTAGAGGTGTTTTCAACACTTCTTTCAATTTTTATTAAGAACTTCATGTTTCTACAAGAGTTTGAGATCAAATCATGCGGCATAATGAAAGTGTATCAAAGATGTTTTTACAGTTATCAATATATTAAGAATAAAATTAGAATTTGTGCCAAATTGAGGGGTGTTTCTTTTTATACTTCTCTCTAGATAAAAAAGATTTGTATAATCAATTATAAAAAAAAATAGATATACCCTAAAAATTTACTATCCAAATTTGGTCCATTATGATCGTGACTTATCCCAACAAGAGTTTTGTAGTGACAAATAATATAAATGTGTGACTTGTGAGTCTATCCAACACGCAAAATAAGAACAAAAATTGATATTTCTTCTCCAATAAATTACAATCTATCCGTTGGGCTCTATATTTGACTATTTTAGGTTAATTTATGTCTTAACACGTCCTTCTCTTCACAGAATATACAAGATATTAATAGTTTTTAAGAACAATTACTATTAAAAGAAATTTAATTCTGTTTAAAAAATACGACACATATTTTGAGTCAGATACTATAATTCAATGCAAGTTTTAATATACGAATGGACCCAAGTGACAGTTTCTCCATACATAAATTTACGAATTAAAGCCAAAGGATAAGAAGCATCACACATTCTCCCAACCACTGATGTAATAATGTAGATCTAAAACAGCACACATACATGTATGATTTTTTTCATCCTAATATATAGCTTGTAAGATTCAATTTTTAAATTTTACTTCTTTTTTTTAATATAAGTCTTTCTTTAAAAAACGTTTTATGTTTGACTAATTAATTTAAAATAGAGATAATGCACAAGTACCTCCTCAATTTATGGCTGAAATCTCATAGACACTTATACTATATTAAGATCCTGTTACCCCTTGAACTTATTTTATTAATAATTTTCTACTCCTTTTGGGCCTACGCGACACTATCTTGGGGACAACGTTGGTTGATTTTTTTTTAAGATAGTCCCACGTAGGTCGAAAAGAGGTAAAAAATTATTTATAAAATAAGTTCAGTGTGGTAATAACACCTTAGTATAGTACAAATTGTCTCTGAGATTTCAGTCCTAGGTTGAGGGGAGTACTTATACATTTTCTCTTTAAAATATAAGTTAAAACTAATATTGGAACAACATTTCTGCCTAGTCAAAATTCATACGAACGTCCTTTTTTTAGCTTATGCTAGTACTACTCAAATTTAAAAGATCAATATTTATTTTTAAGGTTAACCAAACGCTTCAACTATCTAAAAATAAGCACTCAGATTAAAAAGAAGGTTGGTCAAATAAGATGCAATTAGACTAATTCTTCATTGATTCTTATTGGGGAAAAAAATGTCTAAAGTGCTGCAGTTAATACAAGATGGCATCATATTAGTGGATTTAATTAACCAAAAGTGGAAAAAATAAGAAGGGATTAATAACTCAAACAAAACTATAGTACTCCTTGAGAATTAAAAAATTAAAATTAGACTTTTTATTGAGTAAGAGATGATGCATTATTGCCAGTAACAGTACTGGATACAGAGGAAGAATTATTCTTATGATTATGCATCCATACTTTAAACACCTTTCTACTTACCCCTATCTCTCTGCAAAATCTCTCAGTCTCGTTTTCCTCATCTTTCCTTTGCAGCGTCCATCCCAATTTCTCCGCAAATGCCAGCATTTTCTCCTTCTGATCTCCCGTAAACTTCGTCCTAAACCTCTTCTTACCGCTCCTCTCTGACACCGCTGGCGACTCTTCAGTAGTCGCCAGACGGTAATCATGAGCCGCGATGATTTCTCTATCATCGCGGCTACTGTTGTTGCTGTAACTTCCACCGCAACTGAACTTGCGGTGGAAGTTACGGTGACAGCCGCAGGCAGCACAGTTTAAACTGGTGCTGCCTCCGGGTGAAGTGTTGGTGTCATCAAGTGTGAATTCTCCACAGCCATCAGTGGCATAACTGCCAAGGCTGGCTGCATGGTTCCTTAAACACTCTCTGTAAATGTCATTTGATTTGTCTCCTTGCATTTTCTCTCTCTCTTTTTTCTTTTTCTCTTTTGCCTCTCTACAAGTCTTACTACATATATGATAAAAGCATATATGTATGTACGTTGTACGCCGGTTTAGAGATTTTAATTTTATGAGTTTTGAATTTTAGAATGACAACTTCAAGTACAACTAATAATTGAGTTCGATAATTGTACTCATAGTTATGGAGTTTAAGCTATGTACATCGTCAATGTACAATTTAAAAATTGCATTTTAATTAGTATTTGCCCAAAAAGAAAAAAGAATTTTTTTCTTATTGAAATCATATATTATAACAAATGGGGAATTTATTTATGTCATTTATAAAGAAGACTTGTTTGTTTCTACAAAAAGTATATTAATAACTCTTAATAGATAGGAGTATCACCTCGACTAACATAACATGAAACTATACATTTTTAGTTTTTAATTCAAATGCTGAATTGCAGCAATAAAGTTTGTTAAAGATTTCAATATTTAATATCGACATATCAAAAGAAATTATTAACTTATATTATACGTACCATTTTTGATATACATGATACATAAAGTATATTAACTCTTCTTTAATGTTTTCTCCATCAATTTTTCCATCATAGTATATAAAATATTCGTTTAAAATAAGAAGAAGACAAACGGTATGTCTGTATGAAAAGTATAGTCGATAAAACGTGTATGATCAAAATTTCTCTATACCCCACCTATGGTAAAATTGTATATTCCTTCTCAATATACTTTTATTTACATCGAAGGACCGCAAATATTTATAATTCATGAGATTCATGATTGCTGGTTGGTAGGATGAAAAAATGATTAAAATTTACTATTGTTCGTTTGACCCAATCGATTTAAATGAATTTGGATATGAGATTATTTTAGAAGTGGATCGAATATGAATTAACTCATTATTATAGAATATGGGTAACTTATTTGGTATTCATTAACTCCACTACATTTTTCTATATTTTACAAAAATATTTATTGATTTCAGTTTCCTAGTTAAATCTGTTATGAGATTTTGATTTAGGTACCAGAAATAATTATTCCCAATAATAATTTGGAAAAAAAGTTGCGTAAATAGATAGAAAGAAAATTGAGAATTATAATTGATCTAAAGAAACTAAAGCGGAAAGCAGATATCAGAGTAGAAAACATGTTATTGGTTGCTTAACATATTTTTTCATCGGTATTAAATATCAAGAATTTATTTTTATTTAATTCGACTCATTCATTTGTCAACCTTACTCTTACTAGTAACAATATTTAGTTAGTTATCTTATAAAATGTTGGATGTTGGAAAAAAAAAAGAATATAAAATTGTAATTTTCGGTTATTCTCATCACAAATATTTCCACTCTTTTAAGTTCTATTAGTCGTTAGGTTATAACTTACAAAAATAATAAATAATAACCACTCGATCAAATGTAAAAAAAAATTATTTTATATTTGGATAAAAAAATCGTAATTTCTCTATAAGTGATTTTAATTAAAATGGTTCATCTTATAATTGTAGTTTTATTTAAACCACATTTTATGTGAGACAACAATTTCTAAATGAAATACAAAATAACACATTGCTCTTTTTCAAGTTCTTTTCCCAAAAATCTTTAAGAAAGTTAAGATTGAGACAAACACATGTTTTATATTCTCATTTTTAGTACACTAAAGTAAAATAGTAAAAGCATATTTATTTAATAATCTCATTATTATTTAATACATGTATTACAATCTTAATATAACTTGTTATCAATTAGTCCAACAAAAACAATAGAATAAATTCCTAATAGTCAAAATATAACTAGGGATATTAAATATTAATAGTAGGGCTCACTTTGGAAGAGACAAGAGTAGTTATATGACCTGTAAAACATTTTATGTTTAATTTAGATTATAATTTTTGTGCAGTAGAGAAGAGGGACAACTCGACAATTGACAACCAACAAAAGCATTTTATTTGTGCAGGAACCAACGTGACTATACGTAAACAAAATCTTCACAATATCATTTTTTTTTTAAAAAAAATAATTATTACTAAAGGATACTTTTTCGATTTTAATTTACTGATCTAGGTCTGATTTGACATGAAATTAAAAGAATATATAAAATTTTGAAATATTATGATTATAAAATAAAATGATGTAGAATTTACTAAATGTTATTTATGTGAAAAATTAAAATTAAAAACTATGAAAAAAAAATTATAATACAGACGAATTTGAAATAAAAAGATATATTTTTTCAATGCATGAGTCAGCTTTTCTGTGGTCTGACTTAATTATCTTAGAAACTTTATTTAACGACAATATAGTCCCAGTAAAATTCATGAATTAACAATTAATCTTCATACTAATTATTATAATCAATTTAAGTTTTATTTTAAACATTTCAACATGATTAGCCACTTCAATTCTAAATTAAAGGGGTCTTTCTTCATTTCTAGATTTTTTTTATCCTATTTATGATTTCCATCATTAACTGAATATTGTCTAGATTATATAAAAGTCTTATAATTAATATGAGATGAAGTTAAATTGGGTTGAAATTACGTGCTCCTTATTTGTCGTGTTTCTCTTTTACGTGTTTCTTAGAAAAATATTAATTAAAAGTCATATAGATTATTTTATTCTTACTTATGACTTAATATTTAGTGTTTACTTTATCGTTTCTTTTCTATATAATTAAGGTGTTAATAGATTTAAAAAACTATTACCGCCAAGAATAAAAAATGAAAATATAATAACTTTTGTCTAGACTTTTTAAAATATCAAATACTTTTAAGATAATTATGATTAAAAAATACGATGATAAATAATTTGAGACGGAAGAAATATATATTATAAATGGGACCTTTCTCCCTTGGTTTGGGCACATCATCACATGAGCTGGTCAATACAAAGGATATAGTTGCAAATTGAATGCATCTTGAGTGATTGTAATGCCTTAATTTATTAATGATACAAGAACAATGGAGCCAGAGGGGTAAGAGAGTCAAGATTTGTCCTGGTTCATGAACACAAATATTCTGTCCAATGAACATGTCTATGGCTGACTTTACCCCTATGGAGAAAAACAATTTTTTTTTTAAATACTCTATAAAATATATATAATTGTCCTAAAATTTTTGTTTAAGCCAAAGTTAAAAATATAGAATTAATTCCATTTTTGACCTTGTGGGGTGCAAGTATTTAATAGTAAGTACATTAATTCTGTGTGGTTGTAGAAGATGGGGTTGGGAGGAGGGGGACCCTGGAACAGTATGGGATAACCTCAATAATTCACTTTGGGAATATGCAGAGAAATAATCATAGAGGGACCAACAAGTCCTTTTTGTACTTTTGTCTACTTTTATGAGAGAAATTTATTCATATTCAAAACAGAGAACATGTTTGGGGTGTGGCCTCTAAGGGCTCATGATTTGATAGCACCAAGTTATTTTAAAATTTTACTATTTTTATCAATAATAGGAGATAAAAATGACATTATAATTATAAAATGTTATTTTATTAAATATGGTGTTTATTGATCTAGAATTAGCTCTTAACTTGTTTTTATTTGTCTTATTCATGGATGAATTGATGCAGTATCCGAGAAGTGGTGTCATGGTGTCTATTATTTGTGAATGACATAATTCTAATTGATAAGATCCGAGTAAGAGTTAATGTTAAGCTGGAGATTTTGAGGTAGACCTTGAAATCTAAAGGGTTCAGATTGATCAGATGAATCAAGACAAAATACTTAGAGTGCAAGTCCAGTAATGTAATGTATGAAGCTGGCGTGAAAATAAGGCTTGATACACAGGTCATTCAAAAAGATGAAGTTTTAAGAATATTTGATCTATCATTCAAGGAAATTGAGAGATTGACAATAATGTCACACATTGTATATATAGGTGCAGGGTAGATAACATGGAGCGCTCACATTCGGTGTCCTCTGTGATAAGAAGGTGTCATAAAAACTTAAAGACAAGTCATATCGAGCAGTGGTTAGACCTTCTATGTTATATGGAGTAAAGTGTTGGCTAGTCAAAACTAACACATTCAAAAGATGAAAAATCTGGAGATAAATGTGCGGACATACTAGAAGAGATAAGATTAAAAATGAAGATATCGAAAATAAGATAGAAATGACATTAATAGAAAAAAAAATGTGACAAACGAGACTTGGATAGTTTCGGCATGTGCAAAAGAGATGCAGGGATGTTGTTGTGCAACAGTGTGAGAGGTCGGCTATAATGGTTTAATGAGAGGTTGATGTAGGCCAAGTAAGTATTAGGAAGAGGTGACTAGATAGGACATGAATTAGCAACTTCAACTTACTAAGGACATGACCTTACATAAAAGGTTATGGAGGTCACAAATTAGGCCAGACGGTTAGTTAGATAGTTAAGCATCGTCTCACTTATTTTTTTACACTATTAGTTGTACTATTAGTCATCGTATTACTTGTGTAGTTGCTTGTCCTTTGAATTCATTAGGCCAGACGGTTAGTCTATTTTTTTACATTAATTAGAGCATTATATATTAATAATTATAATAAACTTTAACTTTTTTTAGAAACAAAATTTTCAAAAAGAAAAACTAATATGAACATAATTTTTTTGAGATTTTTTAGAAGTTCTTGCTTTGTATGTACGATAACATCCAAAATAAGATGCAAATTTCAATTGCAAATTATTTGACTTCCAGTAAAATAAGTTCACATCTATATTTATCGAGTAACATTCTAAAGATGGATAGTGGGTACCAATTGAACTTATAAGCTCACATTTATTTATTATTATAATATAGAGAGAAAAAGAGAAGTTCCGAATAATAGATCATGACATTTTTTTTTTTAATTTTTTGCATTAGATCCATTTTTTTAAAAAAAAACTAAATTTATATTTCTTTGTATAAAATATATTATCAATCAAAAGAATATTTGAATAGATTTGAAAATGATAGACCTAGATCAAGTCCATATTCCTTCTAGTGGGTTGGATGAATGCCTATTAACAAGTTCAAATAGTTTCAATTTTCTATACTATGAACTCAATTTATTTATTTTTTTTAAAGCAAATTATATTCAATCTTTCTCTAATTAATCAGCAACCACTATTCATTTTGG